CCATTTTATCCTCCGTAGTACTTTCAACTACGTACCAAATTATACTGTTCGGTGGACAGACACAAGCGTAGGTAAATTTGAAATTATGCTATTTAAAAAACAAAGGTCCATACCTATAATTTATTCAAACTTACTTGAAACCGAACATGATTACGAGTGATATGATTAGAGAAGCACTGGATATTGCAATTCCAACGTTCGTAAGCTGGGGCAAAATCTTGTTGTCATTTATCTATAAAATATTAAAATCATACTTAAATTTATATGAAAAATACGAGTAAGAAGACGCAAAGCTGTCATTAGAGAACTTTCGATTGTGCGTGACCGTCCTGCGTTCACTGCACTACGTAGATTAAGCCACACACTGCGTCCTAGAATTGACCTTTCCAGGGTGTCAATCAAACTTAACTGACCAATCAGAACAAGGTTAGGAATACGCTCGTCTCAAACAAACACACGTGTTGTCTCACAAGAGCACGTGTTTGCGTATGTTTTAACACTTTTGTTTTGTGAGAACTTAAGCAAAAATATCTAAGGGCCGGGGCTTAGCAGAAAGGTCCATTCAAGCGAGTAGAACTGAACTTTGTCGCATGCGCAGTGAAATGTATATGACGCCATTACGTTCTATACTTTACAGTCGTCACAAAATCTAAAGCTCTGTGATATCTGAATGTGATTTTTTTTTCATTGTGTAAGCATTCATTCTTACTTGTTCTGGTTTCATCAAAATGACAAATGATGTCAAGTGAGTGCATTTACACGTCACGCCGCTTTTGAAGTAATCGTCATATACCGTTTTACAGCCTTTTGTTGACCACTCGCTTTAAAAAGCAAAAGTAAACAGTTTTTGAATAAAATAATACGTTAATAATATATGTTAGACTTATAGCGCTTAATGCCAACAAGGCCTCCAAGGGCTTCACAATTACCCTCAGTCAAGCACATGGAACATGGAATTCAGCTTCCTGAAGATAATTCCATAATGTTGCAGCCGTAATCAGCGCATTTTGTGTTCGAGCCTACCAGGTACCCACTTGTACTCCTGGGTGAAGAGAGGCACTTCAGTATTAAAACACAGGCCTATAAGAGTAAGCCTACTTTTTAAATTTTTTTTCTAAATTATTTCCTATAGATGCTAACACATATATTGACATTAAAGTATATATATATCTTTTTGAAAAGAAAATAATTAAAACAGAATATTAACTTCCACCGGGATTCAAACCTGAGATTTGTTCCTTACGAAGCGGACGCCATAGCCAGCTTTCTAACAAACGCACACACACAAACACACAAAAAAATAATGAAAATTTAACAACAATAATAATAATAAAAATAATAATTATTATTATAATTACTTACGCTGATTTGAAGTCATCATCATCCTCTGTATAATGACACTGTGGTACTAGATTCTGATTCACATTCGTACTATTTTCCTTATTTGTCTTCTTGAATATTTGGTTAGAAGAAATTGTTGTTAAATCAGCTGAACAAATATCACGAATACAAAATGCTTATATATATTTATATATATAGGCCTATATATATATATATAAACATGTTATTTCTTTTCTGCCTACTTATTTTATATATATACTCTATAATAAGTATATATAAATATATATATATATTCATATATATATATATACAATTATATATATATATATATATATATATAATTAAAAGGCAAAATACTGAAAAACAACAATGCTGTGGGAAACGATGGCTGGATCTCAGTAGAGATACAAAAATGATAAGCAACAGCTAAAAAGTAAACGTAAGTAAACAGCCAGAAATAGAACCAGAGCTTTCGGACAACACTAGTCCCTGTCTCTTATACACATCTAGATGTGTATAAGAGACAGCCTTTGACCTATTGTAGGGTCATTTTATGTCAAATAAACCAGATTAAAAAAAAAATGCCTGTATGACCGTCTCAGATTTTGATGAAACTCCATAAAAATGATCCACTATAGGAAAAACCAACAAAAAAGCTAGCCCAATAGGCTGGGTGAGATTAGAATAAACAGCCTAAACAAGTAAACAGGAAGGCCAAAAATAAACTTTAGAGGCAAGCCTCAATAAATAGGCCAAATGATTTATCCAGAATAAATTGAAATGCCATTGGTTTAGTTTAGTGTACTGGGAGAACGTTCCTAATATTGAGTCCAAATGGTGTGGTTGTTTTAAGATGGAAACTAAGAATAAAGACGCACGTCGTGTGGGCTATAAACTTGTTAATAATCGAACCTTAAAGGATACATTTTACGTGAAAATTTTGCTATGCATAATCACATTGACTAATTATGTTTCGCAGTGTCTTGCTACTATGATAGCGCACAAACATAATAAGAGCCTAGTTGCCATATATTCGCTTGCCACTAAGCCTAATCAGTGCGCTAATTATTGCTTGCTAAGGCCCTACTCTACATAACCTCAATGTATTCCAACCGCAAAAATTTGAAGCTTTGCTTTCATTCGCCCAGGAAATTGGAATGAAATGGCACGCATTTGAATGTTTGACAAGTCCAAATTCGAAAATTGGGGGTGCACAATTATTTTTTCAATTGAAACAAAAATTGCGCGATGTATGACGCTGCTCCAGCCAATCTTGGCACAATGGTGCTCCTGCGCACGCGTGTATGCGGCCATTTTTGAGGCAATGCTTTCTGGCGTTTGTCTTTTGCTAGCACTGACGCAATTTTGTTGGTAAAGCTTCTAAATCTCACGTGGATCAGAATACATTGAAGTTAGCATTAGTAGATAGTATGCAGGTATAGTGGCACAATAGAATATTACGTCATCATAATTCATAATTATTTATTAATAATTTTAATAATTTTATTTTGTACATAATGGGTTGAAGCATATGAAGGGAGTATATGAGGGTTTATTAAAATATTAAAAACAAAAAGTGGTATTAATTAATTGGCGATGTGTAGCGTGACGTGTTAGGTTTGTCATGTTCCCTTAAAATTTATAGTCCACTATTGTGTGCTCTTTAGAAATTGGTTACAATGAGAGTGAAAATTGAGACAATAGGGAGATTAGTCTGCCAGTGCTGGATTTACAGTCACAAAAGAATCTTCTTCCCCATTAAATTAATGAGGGTATTGAATTTGAAAACAAAAGGGTTAGGTTAGGGGATTATCGGTGACAGATTAGTGACTGTAAATTTGGTGACTATAGTTTGAATTGCCCGGGTGAATTAGATTTGGTGACGTAGAGCGGAATGGACGATTTCTATTGGCTTATGTAAAGAACGGTTTCTATTGGTTCAGACGTATCAGTGACCGCTGGTGTCTCTATGGTTTGAATTACCCGCTTCTAACTTCATGTCATGTGTCATGCCTTTATTCCTGTAGTGTATAAATTTAGAAGAAATTTGGGTGAATGAGATTTGGTGACGTAGCGCGGAATGGACGATTTCTATTGGCTTATGTAAAGAACGGTTTCTATTGGTTCAGACGTATCAGTGACCGCTGGTGTCTCTATGGTTTGAATTACCCGCTTCTAACTTCATGTCATGTGTCATGCCTTTATTCCTGTAGTGTATAAATTTAGAAGAAATGGTAAGAACACAAAATTAGTTTCAACTACATACAATTTAGTGTTTACTTTACGAATAACTATCCACGAAGATCGTGTTCAAAGTTAAAACATAATTTTGATTTTAGAGGGAAAAACATGAAGATGGAAACTGAACGAATTGCACGAGAAATAAATTCAGCGTTTGTGGCATATAAACTAGGCAATGACATGAAATTTATAGAGGATATGAACAGTAATTTTCTAAAATATTGCGAAAAGATGTATGAAATGCACAATGAACATCTTTATAAATTAACTAGAGAAGTTTTGCTTGATTCAAATGAGAATATCGAGACATTTTAACAGAAATGTTTAGCGATAATATCATAAACTGGGGCCGTATAATTATGGTTTTTGTGTTTGGAGCGAGGTTAGCTGTTTTATGTAAAGATAGAAATAGAACTGATTTGATTGATCAAGTAATTCAGAATGTAGACAAATACGTGAAGACGGAATTTTTGGAATGGATTAATATCCAAGGAGGTTGGGTAAGTCACTTTTTTTTTGTATTTACAATCAATGATAAAACACATTTAATTCGTGTCTATATACAGTATTATCATCAATCATTACTTAAAAAATTGAATATGTTTCCAACTCTATAGGCCTATATGTACATTTTTTTTTTCAGAACAATTTCGATCAATCGTATACTCAACACAAAACGATAGCAGAAATTCCTCTAATGAACGTTTCGTCATGGATAGCGTTAAACCTAATAGCAACTTTGTATCTATACAACACATTCTGTTAAGGATGATGTGTGTGAATTATGTGTATTTCGACACACACTTATCCAGGATGTTTCTTTTGCCAGCCGTCAATTGGTGTATAAAATACCTACGGAACTTTGCTGGTGAATTTTTTCAATAAAGGTGAATCTGGTTCAGAGTCAGAAGAAAATGGCAATGGGAAAACTACACAGAAATATATTTCGATGTTCTTGTAGGACTAGAGCGAACTAGGTAATCTGGAATACTGGTATTTGTTTTCATGCAAAATTTGATCAAATCAAATAACGTTACCTTTTATTCTACAGTGGGAAACGTTATGCCAGTAATCGAGCATCTCAACGCGAGATATTGAAGGAATTCCCGGAAGAGCGTTTGATAAACGAACACTTAATACATGAATTTATAAATTATATGATGATCTGTATAATTATTAGTTTGAAACAAAATAAATGAAAAGCATTCTTGCTTATTGTTGAGACATATATATGACTCTTTCTTTTTTGAATTTACATCGTGTACCTTTAGTCGAGCAATAAATTATAGGTAGGTCTATACTACGACCCCAAAATCCTGGTAGTTTCGGAGGGGGTAGAATCAGATCTTAAAATGGTTACAATAGTGATGGCGAAGATGATGGTGTTGATGATGAGAATGATGATGATGATGATGATGATGTTTAAAAAGACGATATACAATACTATTTGATTGTTTGATATTATTGCTCTCATAATAAAATGTCTATACAAAATACAAATTCAAATGTATACAAAAGAAAAAAAACACGAGAACAAGATGATAACCCTATAAAATCGGAATATAGAGACCCTAAATATTTGAAACAAACTTAATTTTAATTTAAATTTTAGTTTAAAACTAAACTACATAAATCAGTCAAATATAAATGAAATATACTTTAACAGATTACAAATCAAATAAAATACATTAAGAAAGTACATAAAAGAATAACATTGTCAATTAAAAAGTAATAACCTATTAAAAACCACAATTAATTATCAAACATGTGCACAATTTAATATACAAATAAAAACTTGAATGAAATATTTAACCTAAAGTAAAATAGGTTAAAAACACAAGTTTATGTAAAATAAAATGTTAGAATTTCATCAAAATTACTGAAACAGATGAAGATCGTAAAATTTTAGGTAATTACTTAAAGAACGTTACCATATAAAACTATTTGATTGTTTGATATTATTGCTCTCATAATAAAACGTCTATACAAAATACAAATTCAAATGTATACAAAAGAAAAATAAACACGAGAACAAGATGATAACCATATAAGATCGGAATATAGGGACCCTAAATATTTGAAACAAACTTAATTTAAATTTAAACTGCTATCACAATATAATATACAGTAATCGATGAACTAGAAATGTTAAAATAATAACCAAGTAAAATCCAAATTTACCTAGAGAAAATAATAAATATTTATTAACCGTACGAAATACATAAAAGAGTTGAAAATACTCAAACCACGTAATATTATTAACAATTAACTAGAAAACAGAATGAATTAGACAAATGTAAAAATGTATAAGCTTAGGAAAAGCAAAATTTGTAAGCAATCATCAGTTAAAAAAATACATTAAAAACCTTAAAATGTACAAAATAAAATAATGATAAAAAAAAAATTTCAATTGAATCCAAAATACCGTATTATAACTAAATTAAAAACGATTTATGGAAAAAACACATTTGTATAGACGTGAAAATTTAAAAAACGTAAAATAATTATATTAGAAAATCATAAATTTATACACAAGTATAAAAGTAAAAGTAAAATGCTTTTATAAGCGACAGCCATGTAAAAGTTAAATCCATAGAGCAAAACCTAGTCAAATTTAAAAACATGTAAAACCTGAATTCAAAATCACATTAAGAATAATTAAAGAAAAAATTTAGCTTTATGTTAAGCAAGCACATTTTTAATTAGATAAACTGTTAAAATTCAGAGACGAAAAAAGATCACTGTAAGTTAAAAGTAAAAGAAATTAGAATTATAAAAAAAAAAAAAATAATAAGATGTACGAAACGTAAAAAAATCTACGAAGCAGTTACTCCCAAAATACTTAAAACAAGTTAAAATTATAAAATTTCAAAAGTTCAAAACCACAATGTTATGATATATATTAAAACTTAAAATAGAACAAATAATGCAAAATAATTTAAAAAAGGTATATATATACGATTACAAAAATCCCATATACATACCTATATATATATATATCTACAGCCGTAAAAATCAGAAGACTTTCATACAAGTTGATATATGTAGAATATTGCAATAAGAGAATAATAGAAAACACATGTAAGCACTTTTGCTTACATTATGAACACACTTCTTTGCATATGGTAGAAGTGGTTTGGCACAGCAGTTGAGGTTCTGCTCCTCAACCTTGAAGTCAAAGGTTCAATCCCTTGCTGTGTATTTTGCTCGAGTCCATAGGCAAGGCTCTTTGCCTACGTTTGTCTCTCTACCATCCTGTAGTACAAATGGACACTTGGAATGGTTCAAACACAAAATGCGATGATTAGACCTGCAACATTATGTAATTCTCCCCAGGGACCTGAGTATGTGTTCTATAGCGCTTGATCCAATGACTGGGCGTAATAATGTTAAGCACATAGAAGTCTCGACAATATGCACTCTATAAATGGACCATTATTATCATTATTAGAATATTACACACGCAAACATTTTGCAAAGTAAAGTTGTTTAATTTTGACAGGTAACATTTATGTTGTGATATAAAAAAACTGTCAAATATTTAATTGCAAACAGAAGAAATCCAACCACTGTATATAAATGTTTATCTATGTGATTTTAGGATTAAAATCGACAAAACATGCATGATAAGAAAAAAGACTGAAATATTTTATATGTATTATCAAGGAGGATACAAACATATATATACATTAAGTTTTCATAAATGCACAACGTATGTATTTGATTTATAAAGCTCAATTTTAGACATCTACTAATTTTATTATTGATTAACATCTAGGCCTAATTTGCTAACTAATGTACAAGAATGGGTGATCTATCCTAGTAAACATATTTGTAGGTTATTGCACAATAACATATATCTAACACCGACATAAAACTTATAATTATAAAAAATGCATAACATTTATAAATTCCCATGATTAAACAAAGTAACAATTCAATGCACCCAATTACAAATTTTATGAAAGTGAATAAAAAATTACAGATAACAATCACCAGACTAAAGTTTAAAATTGTATAGAAAGAATGACGTTTCCGTCGTAGAATTACAATCGAAGGTAAAAATTGTCATTGAATCATGCCTAAGAAGAATTTGGCACATATATTCACAGATATGTATTTAATTATAATGCACATGGCAGAGGTCAAGATTATATGAAATTAATATATGACACTTGTACATTTAACGAATGGGACTATGGGAACCATATGGAAATAAGTAGTTGCTACTATATGGATTATCCTATTAATCAGGGTTGTTTGTTGCATTTGCACTGCCTTTCTTGTTTCTTGTTGTTTTAATGTTGTTTGTCAATCCAGTTTTACCTGATTAATGAATAAATTCAATTCAAAAAGCCAGACACCTGTATTTACAGAGCACATGCTGAAGCTAGACACTTGTGCGAATTGAACGAATGTGGCACAGCCAGACACCTGTATTTACAGAGCACATGCTGAAGCTGGACACCTGTGCATTCAGTGAATGTGGGACAGCCAGACACCTGTACTTCTAATGCATGTGACATTTTTACTTACTGCATAGGCAAAGCCAGACACCTGTCCTCTGTACAATGCAGATTGCAAATGTCAACATTTTACATAAACTGCATATAGCAAAGTCAGACACATGTAATTTCAATGCATGTGGCATAGCCCACCTGTACCTTTAATACACGCGGCAAAGCTCAAAACATGTTGCACATGACTAGCAAAGCCACTACAGTTCTTGATGAATAGGAATATTTTATTATATTCCTTATATACCTCATTTCCATGTGTGTTGTCTGTCTTGCTGAACAAAATGAACTTATAATTATTTGAATACAGTAACAGTCAATAACTATATAATAGTTGATTAAAATGTGGTACTATCATTAGCTCCACTATAGAATTAAAAATATAACATTAACATTTTATCTGCTAAATAATTTTAAAATACCAAAAATATTAATTAGATAATAATAAATTCACTTTGTATCTCTACAAAATGAATGTATTACCCGTAGGTTCCTAATTCGAGACTATTTTACCCTTTAATGGCTGTCTCTTATACACATCTTATGTGTTCTATAGCGCTTGATCCAATGACTGGGCGTAATAATGTTAAACACATAGAAGCCTCTACAATATGCACTCTATAAATTTACTATTATTATCATTATTAGAATATTACCATGATATAGTCTCCGAACTGTCTCTTATACACATCTAGATGTGTATAAGAGACAGCCTTAGAACATAACTAATTATAAGGCAACTTGGAACTGATTGAATGTGTCAAGTTGAATAGCTGAGCATGGTGACCATCAGGTATGTTGCCTTGTTGATTGTAGCCTAGCGACGTCCTATAAATTAATGATTTCATAGGCCTGCAGACTGGATAGAAGAACGTACATAAACCAGAGGAACACGAGGAAGGCTCCGCTCATGTAACGGGTTGGCATTGGACCTCCAAGCTCAGCCTTGCCAAACGGTTCAAGGAAACGACGAGCTGCGATTAACGACACACACAGCAAGGCACAGATGGTATAAACAACCACGCTTACACCGAAGGATCCAGCTGGTACACAGAAATCTTGACCCTTCAAATTGATAGTAAAATGAAATGTAAATTACAACATCATATTTATAACATTTTTCTTTTAAATACAAAATTACAATATTTTCATAGAAGCTGTAAACCAAAGACTCAGTGATCTGTTAATTTACCAAAGGGAATTTTTCTAAATCTAGATTTACACTAGACACGATAACGACACGACAATGACATATCATCACGTAGTTTGTATTCTTCAACACTGCATGCATCTGTAGCATGTTGTAATCGTGTCTAGTGTAAATGTGTCGTACGACAAATCCAGCTCTGCTCCTTGTGAGTGCTAGGCAACACAATGCAGTCCGCTGATTGCTGGTGGCAACCTAAATGGATCTTCATTAAAAACGATCTATTGCGTGAGCGTCATGGCTTTGTGTTCTCCATAGAATCGCATCGGCCAATGACCGTCGAGAGCAGTTAGTGCCTGGCTGTACCTATTACCAGAACTTGTTGTATCCACGTAAATTATACACAAATGCTGGGCCAGGCCCCTGGAAACCCACACTGCAGTGACACCCGACTGAACTACAACACTTAACCGATACAAGTAGCCACAAACATGTTTCTTTAACTTGCCTAACTCTCAATTTGAGCGACTATAGACCCCAATTAAAATCTGACGCTAGGCGGATTTGAACCAGGGTCCACAGCGCAAGGAGCAGGAGCATTATGTCAGTCAAATGCTCAGCGTAAATTAAATAGATATGTACTGTATATTGAAAAAATATTTAAAATGGAATATACCTTTGAGGACCAGTATATGGCTGCGATTACCCAAGGTGTCCCAAGACCAAGAAATACGATGACTGAGTTACTTCCAGTGACGTTGCAGATGGCCGCATCTGCATACCTCTCGTTGTTGGCAGCAGTTTTATTTGCGAAAAGATCCGGTAAACTGGTTCCAAGTGCAACAACAGTGATAGCTGTCACGCTGTCCTTTATTCCAACAATGCAGCCGAAGATGGATGCTAAGTCTCCAATGATGGCTGTGAGAAGACCGATGAAGGCAAGTGCTACGACGAATGTAATCCATCCTCCAGAGTTCAGAAATTTTGGAGGTGGGATGATGGCAAAAATAACCTAATACAAATGACAACACAATTAATGGATTATATAAGATTACCTCAATAACCGACAAAAGGCTAAGTCGAATGGTCGAGCGGTTATGGCAGTTGTGTCACAAAGTACAGCCATAATATCGGCACTGGTTCGAACGAAATGCTCGCCGATGGTTCTGGTGGTGGAACAATTCTTCTCAGATAATGATTATAAACCGTAGGCCCAGTGTACACAATCTGGCTCATGTGTACATTAAAGAACCCAGTACATCTTTTCGAGAGGAGTAGGGGGTTACCCCGGTGTACCGGTCCATACAGCCCCTGTTGTAGACAGACGAAGAGTAGCTGGTACCGATTACCAGGTAGCTCAGACATGAAGACACCCTTACAGAAGAAGCAAGTTACTGTACTTCGGTATAAAGCGCTAAGTAAATCAAACTAAATTACATTCCATTGGGGTTTTCTGCCATGGCCATTAGTTAAGCAGTACACTGGCAGACAATCCTCTATTCTTTTCCAAAGAGTGTACTATTACTTATACATGGGCCAAATTTAACATGGGACCAACGTCTCATGTTAAAGACTGTGTGCTATTAAATATATTACACTTCAGCCCTCCAACTGAAACACAAGGCAAGAAGTGGCTAGAACACATTGACCAAGGTTTCTGTATGAGAAGATCTTCATGATTCAACACATGTCCATGAGCCTAAAGGGCAAGAGATGACTAAAGTATCATTGTACCTTCCATCCGAATGTCAGAAGATGCATGATATATTTTCCGAATGTGGCATTCTCAACATCGCCACCATTCACGTTAATAGCATCTACAAACTGGTCGCCGTAGGATGAGTTGCCAAGCTTCAATCGCTCCATGTTGATATGTGTGATGTTTACCACACGGTCCAGGATCGTCTTATAATCTATCAATTGATCAAAAGTTATCAATAATCAATTATCATTATATCATCACGATTATTCACATTATTATCATTAACAACTGACGCTAGCTCACATAGCTTGACAAGGTTATGTCGATAACATCGACCAAAGCTTGACAGCAAGTTAACATCCACTGTGCTTGTTTATTAACGATTAAACAGTCCTACAACATTAATAAGTCTTCTACACACTTTTGTGGGTTATCCTTGGTGTTTACACCGAATAAATCCAATCCAATAAAGCAAACCAGACGAAACTATTCAAATATGATTATTAAATAACTGTTCATTTGTATGGAAATATGCAAGTCACAACACCTTAGTGAAGTAATGTTCCAACCAAATGATGGAAGTGTGGTACGTGGGTCGTTATGACCTTGGTTGCTTTATCATTTCCTACCCCTTAATGTACAGCTGATAAAGGTAAGGTATGTGGGTCATAGGACATTAGTAATGCCCCTAATCTATGACGCATAATTATTCTTTTTTTCTCTTTGTCACTTCATAGCAACTATTGTCCCGCACCCAGCAGGAAAGAATTAAAACAAATTTTCAGTAAAAATGACAATTAAAACTATAGGCTACAAATGGGTAAATAATTTCATCTGGTTTTTGATAGTTCAATAAGCACAAAATCTCTTTGCATATAACAAATGCAACTTACCGTTAACTACGACAGATTCTGATGAAGTCTGACTGGTAGGAAGGTGAAACCAAGTTGCATTGGTTTTAAAAACGCAAAGGATTTTGCTATTTATAGGCTACAAAAATTAAAATGGATTCTTACCGTCATCGTTAATGATAGTAACAACTGTTTTTTTCAATCGTCCAAGCTGAGCGCCTCCAGTTGGGTTGAACAGCTCCACTTGAAAACTTTTATCTTTCTCATATTCTTGGTCATCGATAATTGGGATATTGATGCTCTTCTCCCTCTCGCCGTGCTCAAACACGAGCGTACCTTCGCCGCCTTCAAAATCTTTACCATTGACTGCTTCAATATCTTTTGTCCGCCAGGTTACCTCGATCTTTCCATCGCATCCGTTCAGACGCTGGACGGGCAACTCTGCATTTCCGATGTTCTCCGTTACCAGGAAACTAGTCTTAGCAAACTCCAATGTGCCAGGCTCTGGTAGTTAAGGAAATAATTTAAATATCGTATAATTGACGAAGAAAGCAAATTAAACCAGTAACTTGGTTTACCTGATGGGGCATTTATATATTCTTATTTAATGAATTATAATATTCCAATAACTTTTTTGTTGATGAAGCAACAATTAAAGAAATAACCTTCAGTAATCAATGCCATCTGTTTCTGCCTTAAACAGCTTATCAACATGTGATTACTATTTCCTCAAATTTGTAATTAGAAATTATATTCATTCAGGGTTTTGAATTTTATTAATACTGTAGACTTTTTCTCTATTTAATAAATCTTGTTAATTTATATTCAATTAATAAATTTGAATACACAAAGAGGCTTTAATAAATTAAAATATCATCATAAAGTATGACCAATGTTGAAACTGTCAATGTAAACAATATCCAGAAATAACAATAATAAAAATAATACTAACAATTAGAAAAGTATAAAATAAATCATAATTATAATACCTTTGATATTAATTTAATATTCTAATTATTTATATGATAATTTAAGTAACGTAAGTTACAGCTTAGAAAAAGTACAGTAGCCTATAAAATATAATCCTGCTTAAACTTTTAAAGGATGGCTGTTGCATTAGAAATGAATACCCTTTTGACAGATAAATATTCAGTGTAATACATTTCATGAACGACATCAATCAATCTAAATTGACTAGTTCTTAAATAATAAGGCATACTTATCATTCACAACTGATTGGTTATATGAGTAATTATTTCATTCATTTAACCAATAGTAGAACAGGAGAGAAATTTCTATAAATTTTACAATTTTTTTACAATTAGCAATTTTATAGCTATGAATTAAAGATGCTGGCCTCATGGTAGAGCAATCATAATATCCTGATAGGTAATTAACTAATAATATAGTCAGGTGAGAAATCAATTCTATCAGGTTCATTCTATTGGCTGAATTTCTCAATAATTGGTGACACTTAATTATATTAGCCAATCAGAAGCTAATACTGTAAGAAGGAGAACGATATAGTAGGTATGTTAAAATAGATTAAAAATAAATGGTAATTTAACTGGCTGATATTCATAACCATAATCAAGAGATTGCAATATGATTAATCATAATTGTATTAATTATTCATAAATATTAGGCAATTAAGGAAGGATTCAAATTTGAGTATTTGATGAACTTAGCAGTAATGATAATTGACAGATTTCTACATCATTAACATTTTTTTCATTTGTATTTTGCAATTAGCTACAATTGGCAGTTCATATTGAGCAGGAAACAAAATGTCAAAAATAAAGGGTGACATTATGGGATTAAAAGGGAGAAGAGGAATGCACCTAAATGTGACATTATGAGATCAAAAGTGAAAAGAGAAATTCACCTGAAAGGTGACACTAGGAGATCAAAAGGAAAAGATAAATTCACCTGAAAGTTGACATTATGAGATAAAAATCGAAAAGGAGTGGGCATGAAAGATGACAATATGGGAACAAGATGGACAAGAGGAATGAACCTGAAAGATGACATTATGGGAACTAGGGGAAATGAGTAGTGTTCCTGAAAGGTGACAATTGTATGGGAACAAAAGGGAAAAGAGGTGCACACCTAAAAGGCAACATTAATATAAGAGAGAACGAAAGAGCACATCGGAGAGATTACATTATTATAGGAACAAGAAAAGATGGAGTGGACCTGAAATTGATATATTATGAGAGCCAGATGAGAGGCAGATAGAAAAGATGATGGCAGGAGTCTGAAGACTACATGTTGGAGGATAGCAGAAAAGAGCAGAGTAGGCCTCTTGGAAAAAGAAAAAAATAAATGTCAGTGTGAAGTAAATACAAGGCGTGAATGATTTGACATGAATCTTACCATCATCATTAATTATGGTGACTTCAGTAATTGGGTGTTTGCCGAGCACAATACCACTAGGTTTTTCCTCCAGGGTCATCTTGACGAAGAACGTCTCATCTGGTTCCCACTCGTTGTCATCAATGATCTCGATCTCAATGAACTTTTCAGTCTCCTCGGGCTCAAAGACCAACGTGCCCTTCTGGGGAACATAATCCGACTCAGATTCTGCTGTACCGTCTAACGTCTCATATCTGTGTGGAATTATATTCAAAATATTTATATCTAATGTCATGTAATGAAATTTGTCATCCATGGTGATATACATAAACAGCATATATATTTCAGCCAAATACCAAACTTTTCTTAATGTACGATTAGCAATGAAACAAAATTTCACGAAGTTTTTACATAGTGAAATCAGCAGACATAATTATGATAAGAATTAGTAAGAAAAAAAGTTATCATAGCAAATGTTTCATTATTTGTCATTTCCTGGTGATACACTTGACTAAAATTTGAAAAAGTGACTACATTGTCATTTAATAACTAAACAAATGTACCAAAACAGTGTTGAATTTTCACTAAGCGCTCAACTCGGCGACATAAGCACTTGAAACTTGAGTGTAAATGTAATTTTTTTTTTGTTTTCTATTCAATTATTCATTCTACAGGATTTAGTTACCCTTTACAAATGAAGTTATAAAAATGGATTGTGGAGATATTTTAAAAGATTAACTGCTAAAACCTATTTGACATTGTGGTATTTTAAATTATCTACACAATAAATTATTGTTATTTATTGTGTAGATAATTTTGGTATTGTAATTTATCTACACAATAAATAACAATAATTTATGCTATTACAAAAAGCTGTAGGATGTCTTACTATTATGATGTCCACCGGGGTTAAACATTTCTACCTTTCAATATGCACACACATTATCAACCAAGCAGAAGATGTTAATGGTTAACACACATATTATACAAAGCGCAGATTAAGTGTCTATATGTTAAAAGATCAGATATTTATCGAAATATATGAAAGAAAATATTTGACTTGCAATACCAATAAATTAACAACTAATATTGCCTTGACCTGTAATCTCATTAAAATTAGCAATTAAATGTTTTATTTATAATAGAGTTTATCTTTTAGGGTCAAAACATTGTCGGTTGATTACTGTGTGAAGGTTGGATTAAACTTCATCTGACTATGTGACGGAAAAGATAGTGAAAGGGACATTATTATGACAAAATTTTTGTTTAATATGACATTTTGAAGTGATGTCAGCCGCAAACCCTAAGACCAGTTGGAGACAAGCAGTGAATAAAGTACACTTTCATAAATGAAATCAGGCAACAAAACAATTATATTACGTGACTTTTATCACTTGTTTTTAATCATTTTCTATATTGCAGGAGTTATCGGTCTGATCGTATAGAACTTGGATCTACACAATAAATAACAATAATTTATGCTATTACAAAAAGCTGTAGGATGTCTTACTATTATGATGTCCACCGGGGTTAAACATTTCTACCTTTCAATATGCACACACATTATCAACCAAGCAGAAGATGTTAATGGTAAAATAACACACACATTATAGAAAGCGCAGATTAAGTGTTAAAAGATCAGATATTTATCGAAATATATGAAAGAAAAAATTTGACTTGCAATACCAATAAATTAACAACTAATATTGCCTTGACCTGTAATCTCATTAAAATTAGCAATTAAATGTTTTATTTATAATAGAGTTTATCTTTTAGGGTCAAAACATTGTCGGTTGATTACTGTGTGAAGGTTGGATTAAACTTCATCTGACTATGTGACGGAAAAGATAGTGAAAGGGACATTATTATGACAAAATTTTTGTTTAATATGACATTTTGAAGTGATGTCAGCCGCAAAACCTAAGACCAGTTGGAGACAAGCAGTGAATAAAGTACACTTTCATAAATGAAATCAGGCAACAAAACAATTATATTACGCGACCTTTATCACGTTTTAAATCATTTTCTATATTGCAGGAGTTATCGGTCTGATCGTATAGAACTTGGAATAACCATTTGCAATTATAAATCAGTTAAATTCTATGAATAAATATCATTTAAAGATTCTCCTGAAGATATATAAATAGCACAATCTATTTAAAGCATGTACATTAGATACTTTCAGTTCTTCTCGAATTTTATGTGGTGTATCGCAAATCTATACTAAATTGCATAAAAATTCTTAAGTGAAATTATTTGCCCCATTAATAAAAAACATTAACAATATGCATACTTTTGTTGAATTTAGCTACATGATACAAGGATGACATTATTTCATAATCATAAGTAAGGTAAGGTAAGGCAAAGGTCGAAAACCCAAATCTCTGGGCTCGCAGGCTGGAGTGCCCGTCTCTCTTTCTTCAGACTGTGCAAGTACCCATTGATACTCCTCAATAGAGAGAGACAAATGAAAATAAAGTGTCTTGCCTATTAAGGACACAAGCGACTTGCACAGCGAGGGTTTTGAACCCCAGACCTCACGGTTGAGAGTCTGAACCGCAACTGTTGTGGCAACTGCTTCATACTGTACAGTAGTCATAAATTTACAGATATTAAAATTAAATTAATGCGAAAATTAAATAAAGTGTTTTATTTTCTTCTTGCATTTTAATAGTCATCTCCAAAGTAGTTGAACCATTATGTTTGATAAATAATTAATAACCATTGATCTTCGTGACCACCTTTGAATTTGAATTCAAAATTTGAATAAACCTTTCAATAAAATGTTTTATAGTGCATAATCATGGGTCTGTTCCAATAACAAAATGTAAACAATTAAATAGTTGGATAAGAAATCTAAAATAAAATAGAAAAAGAATGAAGAAAATGGAATGATGAGATAGTTGAGATAAAACTTGGTTGATATTTAAATAATTAAACATTAACATTATAAAAAAAATAAATAAATAAAAATTAATCATAAAATTAACCTGTTTTTGTTTTGTTTTGCTCACTGTTTTAATCATCTTTTCTTTTAATTCTGTTCCGACTTTTGCTTTTAAGCTGAAACGTGCTGAAAAGACCTGTTAGGCCATATTAAAAAATAAACATGTTTCTTGCCTAATAAAAAAAATGTTTAGAGGAGGCTGAATCAACTTATACTTATTAACGCAAAGATATCTACCATATACACGCCCCCACACAACCACGCAATAAATTATCTAGGCCAAGGCCAATACATCAATCAATCAATCAATCGCTAAAGATATATTGCACCAACAATTCAACAGTTCATGACTTTTGGCAGAACAACTCAGAATGCCTTACACGAACTCAAATGGCAAGGAATATAAAATAAGATCTTAAGCTCTTCTCAGGAATGAAAGACGAGTTTGAAAACTGAAACATACATATTTATTTACTTGGCATTAGTTATTGTATACAGACTATCATCAATAAAATTATGAGGCACCATGTGTTTACTTATTATTTAGCAAAAATATATTATATATTATTTATTTATTTATTTTTTTTTGGCCTCTGTTGTGCAGATTACCATTAATAAAGTATGATGTATTGTAGTATTATATTAAGATGCAAGCAATTATTGATGATGGCTGAGATCTTTACATCTCAGCCTCAAAAAAATTGATCTTCATCAAGCGAAGCAATTTAGCAATCTAAACGAAAAGATTATTAAAAGACATTTATGGAATATTGTTGTATACTGTACAGTACAATGTTATTAAAATGTATTCATAAAAAGCAATAGAGAAATGGGTGGTAATGATAATGATGATGATCATGCAACTGGAGGCTTAATATTAAAACCAACTGAAACTGAGTAGTTAATATTCAAGTTATTGAAAGAAGTATAATTTACATTTTTATATCGAGTTGTAAACAGGTTGTCTTTATGTAAATTTAGGGCCGAGGACTATAGTTTTACATAAAATAGACTAGATACATATTGTAATTTCTTTGTGAGTATTGTAACAAGGAACAAATAAAAATCCATTTTTCTAATGCTAGACTACAATGATACAGTAATTATGACTTTATAACAACGCTAGTTGAGACCTACGGTTAAGGGAGGTAGTGAAAAATTAAAGGGGTATATGGAAACAATAGTATGTAATATTTTTTGTCAAGCNNNNGATTTTCTTTTATAATTATTGTATTATAACCTACATGAAATAACATCTAATATTCTCAAAAAAAAATAAAAAATTGATGGTAAATCATGTTTTTTGATCTTCTTGAAAAGGTTTAAAAGAATTTTATCTAATATTTAATTTATTATTCATGCTAATATTTCTTCATTCTGTAATAAGGTATGCTTAATGTATACACTACTTAAGTTGTACTATTGTATGATGTACTCTCCTACAAGAGTTGTGATCTCTATAGAAGGGCTTCAGCCAATGACCGTTGAGGTGCAGTGAGTATATGTAAAGCAACTTGCTTGTATGTTTGTCTTGTGAAAGGATTGCCACTTAGCTATATATACCTTGAGCCTAAATTATATTGTAAACACCAAGTATTAAATATAGACCCTACATCATAATTTCAGTAAATATAATTCAAATGAAATATGTAAAATTCATGTACTCTAAAGATAATCATAATATGGAGAAAATACTGTAGATGAGAGAACAATATGCGAACAGTTTTCTAAAATTCTAGAAGCTGCTAGTTACCTGGTCACTATTAAGGGAGGTGGTTCCAGCTCATAAAATGAGGCTTTATTTATACCTTGTTTAGCAAACCAACCGCCCAAAAATAATGATGATTTCAAATAAAAATAAAATTTTACTATTGGCCAATTAGCACACTTGCCACCATAAAAAATTAATGGAAATTTCAGAAAAAATGAAGTTTTTCTTTATTTTTATTATGCCCACCGCTGCCTTAAAATCTCAAAAAATTAAATATGTATATTTCTTCCTAATTATATAAATTTAAAGCATTTAACCACCCCTTTACTACACTGTTTACATTCACCAATAAAATTTTATTTTTATTTTCTCCTCTGTCTGGATGTTTTTGGCAAAACTATTTGCTAAATAAGAAAACAACATTTAATTTTTAATTTCTTTTCTGCCCTCTGTCAATCTTGAAAAAATATATTTGCGAAACAAGGTATAAAAAATTTTCTCCCTAATGTGTGTATAGCCCACATTTATATTGCCTTTTATAATAGTGACTCAGAGGAGGATGAAAGATAATATGAAAATGGGACACTAGAGTGTGT